GCCTTTTCCCGCCTCGGCGTCCCGGGAGGCTTCCGGCCGGGCGGGGTGGGGCACCAAGCGTGAGGCGCGCGGACCGTAGCCCTGCGCGTTAGGTTTTGTTCGTCCTTGGACTCTGTGTCCCTACTTTTGTGTACTCTCTGTCCCTTCCTTCCACTGCTGTCGTCTTTGCTTCCAGGACTGTTGTAAGGGGACGCTATCTCCCTGACTACACTGTAAGCTCCTCAGACCAGGAAGCTATTTCCTGTATTTGCATTATCACAGCCTCCAAGGGCCAATAGAAACCTAGTAGAGGTCCGGAGCACGAAATTTGGGTATGGGTAGAGCCCCTACGCCTGGTTGGCGATCAGGGCCAATCTGTGGAGAGACCGCTGGGGCAATGTGGGGGGTGGGGAGGGGGGGACCTCACTGGCACCCGCCTTGGCTGGCCTGGGGCCTGTGGGCTGGGGGCAGCTCCTGTGTTGAGCATCTGCCCCCTGGTGGTCAGTGTGCGTCATAGCGACTGGCAGTTCCTCCGTTTGGTTGATTTGCATATTAGGCTTTTATTATATAGGAGAGTAGAGGCTCAATATGTGCAGTTTGGGCTGCTGTTGAAAGTGCCTTGAGCAGTGTAATGGGAGGACCAGGGGCGATGAACTTTGGTGAGTGCAGTTACTAATTCAGGTTCAGGGCAGCTACTCCACACCACTCCCTGAGGCAGGTGTTAACCTCCATTCCACAGGTGAGAACACAGAGGCCCAGGAAGGTGAAATCAGCTGCCTCCTTTTCCCGCCTCGGCGTCCCGGGAGGCTTCCGGCCGGGCGGGGTGGGGCACCAAGCGTGAGGCGCGCGGACCGTAGCCCTGCGCGTTAGGTTTTGTTCGTCCTTGGACTCTGTGTCCCTTCCTTCCACTGCTGTCGTCTTTGCTTCCAGGACTGTTGTAAGGGGACGCTATCTCCCTGACTACACTGTAAGCTCCTCAGACCAGGAAGCTATTTCCTGTATTTGCATTATCACAGCCTCCAAGGGCCAATAGAAACCTAGTAGAGGTCCGGAGCACGAAATTTGGGTATGGGTAGAGCCCCTACGCCTGGTTGGCGATCAGGGCCAATCTGTGGAGAGACCGCTGGGGCAATGTGGGGGGTGGGGAGGGGGGGACCTCACTGGCACCCGCCTTGGCTGGCCTGGGGCCTGTGGGCTGGGGGCAGCTCCTGTGTTGAGCATCTGCCCCCTGGTGGTCAGTGTGCGTCATAGCGACTGGCAGTTCCTCCGTTTGGTTGATTTGCATATTAGGCTTTTATTATATAGGAGAGTAGAGGCTCAATATGTGCAGTTTGGGCTGCTGTTGAAAGTGCCTTGAGCAGTGTAATGGGAGGACCAGGGGCGATGAACTTTGGTGAATGCAGTTACTAATAATTCAGGTTCAGGGCAGCTACTCCACACCACTCCCTGAGGCAGGTGTTAACCTCCATTCCACAGGTGAGAACACAGAGGCCCAGGAAGGTGAAATCAGCTGCCTAATGTCACAGCTAGGAAGCAGTGAGCCCTCACTCTAACCCTGGTCAGTCAGGCTCCGGGCGTGTGTTTTCTGTGTTGTCCACAAGCAGACGGACTTGTCAGCAGAGGAAACTAGCTGGAATGGGATGGATAATTACAGCAAGTGTCCAGGAAAGAACGTTGAAACCTATAGGAAAGTGTTATAGGAGTTTATTTGAACTAAGTTTTATAGGAGGTGCCTGGAAGCAAAATGCTCCGGAGAATGGCAGTTTGGTAGTTCCTTTTATGCCGTTGGGATCAGGAGAAAGGAAGGTACATGAAGTCTAGTGATAGGTGAAGGAGGCGGGAGAAAGTAAAGCAGAAAAATCTCTAGGATTGGATATAAAGCATAAAAGAGAAACGGACGTACTTTACATTGGTGGGTACAGGATAGTTAATAACTAACATTTACAGCCCATTGGGATGGTATGTGGGAACAACCTAGCCATGAGGGGTGCTGTGGTCTCCTGCGCTGGTGGTTTTATGTTCTGGTCCCTGTGGGTGTGCCTTTGAGGGGATCTGGAAAAGAAAATTACTCTGACATTTCAATGGTATGTTACCCTAACTGAATAAAAAGAATGGTCATGGCTCACTTCTAAGGTAAATGTTAGCCCTTGCTACAGGCCTGGGACATCACCTGCTGTGACCTGCCCAGTTAGGAACTTGTGCTCAGACCATCCTGTGTGGTTATTTTTGGTCACTGAGCTTGTCAGACCTGCCATATTGCCTCCCCCCCCCACCCCCCGTTGTCAGGTTTATTACATTGATCCATTCACATAGGAAAGAAAAAACACCCGAGCACATGGCCCTGGTAGAAGCAGAGGCAAAGTGGAAAGTGGGAAGCCAAAGTAAAAAAACTATTTCTGGCACTGTGGGGTCTCCCATCCACTGCTGGTCTTGCACTCAGTGCAAAAGCGAGACCAGCATAAGATAGTAAAGCAAACGTGAAAAAGCTGGCCTCCCTGTGAACATCCAATGTAGGAGCACCTTCCTAAAGGAGGGAACAAAGTCAAGGACATGCAGAGAGAGTTTTCTACTGAAATGTCAGTTTTTGAAGGCTTTTCTTCAAAGGTTGTGTGTAGCAGTTCTCTTACAAATTTTCTCAGTTAATTCAGAGCTAAACAACTAAACAACTCTGAATTAAATGAGAAACAGTTCAGAGGAAACCAGTTAGCTTCTGTTGTGGCAACATCAGAGTTCTGTCTTATTGTTGACTCCTCAGTTGCTTCCTCAATGACTATTTCCGACGATTCTGTACTTTCATTTGCTCTGAGCTAGAAGTTAAATAAGGTTTTCCTTTCTCACCAGAAGTGCCACCAAGTTTTCATTTTGCATGTTGACCAGAAGCGTAGACATGGGGACATATCCATAGAAACCCCTACAAGCCCACTTTGTTCCTTGATATTTGTTTTCTTGTTTTTGAAAATATGTTGTTATTGATTTCAGAGAGGAAGGCAGCGGGAGAGAGAGAGATAGAAACATCAATGATGAGACTCATCAATTGGCTGCCTCCTGCAGGCCCCCTACTGGGGATTGAGCCTGCAACTCAGGCAGGTGCCCTGACTGGAAATTGCACTGTGGTGTCGTGGTTCATTGATCCATGCTCAACCGCTGAGCCACTCCAGCTGGACGTTCTTTGGTATTTGTAATGCTTGTAAACACCCATATTGACACAAGCAAACTCTCCTTGTAGCTCTGTTTTCCTATCAAATGGAAAAGGTTTTTCTCATCCCATCATTCAACATCTGAGCTAAAGTAGGGATTACTTCAGGATTATGACTCCAAAAGCAGTAACGCTCAGTAATAACCCTGAAATGTCTCTGATGGTTTTTGAAGTGTTGTAGTTTTGGACAGTACAATAAGTGAGGAGCTGGTTTCTGGGCAGTGACTTCTGGATAATTGGTCTAATATTCTGGGGAGTACTATGGCTGATGGGCTGAATTCATTAGGGAGAGGAGCCATGGAAAAAAGCAATGTCTAATTTTTGTTTAGAACTGTGCTTATAAGTCGCAGGGTCCAAATCAAGAAGGCTTCCACAGTGTAGGAAATCCAGAGGCAAATCATAATTGGATTGTTCTTGCTATGCAGTTGTGTGACTATATCATTATTAATACAGAGAGACAGTATTGCATTTCTCGGTAAGTTCCTGGTCAGGATACCTCCGTACTTCTTCACCAGTGTTTTGAACATTTTCTCGTTTTGTAAGGAAGCTGTCCCAGAGACTTACGTGAGAATTTGCCAACTTTTGATGAAAGATTTCTCATCATTAAAAAGTTGAGAGTTTAATCAAATAGGAAATCAATAAGCTTTGTGTATCCTGAGGACAGACCCAAACTGCTTATACTGGCTGTGTCAGCTGGATCTTGACTATTTTTATCAGCATCAGAGCTGACAAAGCTGCTTGTTCAGGACTCCTGCTTTCCTTTCCATCCTGTGATAAGAGTATCTTTTGTGGATCCAAAGTACTTTTAAATCTGTTTACAGATTAAACATTCTATCATTGTGAATGAAGTTGATCCACATTATTACTGTCTCTCCTTTTAAAATATTTTTATTTATTTATTTTTTTTAGAGGCAGGGAAAAGGGGGAGAGGGAGAGAGAGAAAGAGAAAGAGAGAAACACTGATTTGTTGTTTCACTTATTTATGCACTCATTGGTTGTTTCCTGTATGTGCCCTCACCAGAAGAGCAAACCCACAACTTTGGTGTTCTGTACTCCTTTTCTCCTGTCATATCATGGATTAATTTAATATATATATATTCCTCACTTGAAGATATGTTTTTATTGATGAGAGAGAGAGAGAGAGAGAGAGAGAGAGAGAGATGGATCGGTTGCCTCCCGTACGTGTGCCTCAATTGGCGATTGAACCCACAACCTTTTGGTGTACGGGACCACGCTCCAACCAACTGAGCCACTCAGCCAGGGTAGGGCCCTGTCTTCTTATTGGCAAAGCCCAATTAGCAATACATAGAAATACATTTCTTAACAAGGGAAAGTCTATCTCAAGGACATTTGCAAGCTCTGTAACATTAGTATGCTCAACTATTGAAAAGAATATAGAGTTTGAAAGTTTCATCATCTAGTCATCTTGCATTCAACTCATTACAAAATCTTAAAGAGAATAAAATTGTCATTAGATAGTGATACATTAAAATAAAACATTTGTTATATAAACTATGTATCACATTGTAATCTCTAGTGATCTAGAGAGTTGAGGGCCTAAATTGGTGATCTTATCTACAGTATGTTTCTGTATATTTTTATGTCATTATCTGACCAGCCTGCACCACCCACCATGCCTCCTCTATGGCAGTCTCCACTGGCATTATTAGTAAAAATGTGACCATTCTTTAAATGGACACATCACATATGAACATTCTTCAAATTTTAAAAAAAATTGATGATCTAGACTGATTTATAATATCAATGTACTCCTACCTTTTTATGCCAAGAAAACTTAGATACTCAGCCCTAGGAAAACTGGGCAGTGAAGCATAAATCTTCTCACTGTTCACAATGTCCTCTGTAGAATAAAAAAATGGTGGTCCTTAGGCCCTTTAAAGGTAAAGGTACAGCAAGAAATAATATTGACTATAATAGTTCCTCAAAATATTTGCATTAATCTTTGATATGTTTAAGTTATATTTCTGTATCATAACTGATTTTGGAAATGTAGAGAACAACCTGCTTTGCATATTTTCTCTGTGAATTTACAACACCCTGTCGCATGTTGGCGGGCAGCTTGCTCTCTGGGTGGCTGTGCCTGATGTGGGACTCCCTGTCTGTGGTGGGAGGGCCCTGGGACAGCTGTGGGGAGCCTGATGAAGGCCTCACTCTAGGCTTTAGAATGCCTGGGCTGCTTTATGGGAGAGAACAGAGAACAGTGTCAGAGATGCATCAGAGGATTTAAGTTTCTTTATTAGATTATATTTTAAGAAGAATAAAGAGCTTTTAAAATCATCTCTCTTATAAATAACTAGAGGCCCAACGCACGATATTCATGCGCGGGTATGGTCCCTAGGCCTGGCCTGCGATCAGGGCCATCTTCCCCAGCTGTCCACAGCCAGCCCCGCCCCCTGCCGCCACCCACCCCCAGTTCCCTGTTTGCCATTGGGTGATCAGTGCCTGATGGCCAGGGGAAGGGACCAAGAGGTCGGCTGTTCCAGCCCGCTTGTCGGCCCCACCCCCACCCCACCCCGGGTGGCCATCAGGCAATCGGAGCCTGCCGGCCAGGGAAAGGGACAAAGGTGGTGAGTGCACCTCATAGTGATTGGTCCAGTCGTTCTGGTCGTTCTGTTGTTAGGGTCAATTTGCATTTTACCCTTTTATTATATAGGATTCTCCAGGCCCACTAACCTACTCTTATATTTGACCATTACTCAATTTCATTGAAAGGACTGGAGAATGCCTTCATTTTGCTTCTCTCTATTTCAAAAATTTTTCCCGTATGACTCTTCTATTTCTAGGTTTCTCATATCCTTTCTAGAGCGTTTCGTCCCACCTATAACCAGTATTCTGTGCTCTTTTGTTTTCTCTAGGGCCTTGCTTCAGCAGTCTTTCCCCCTCATCTTCAATCTTTCCTTACTTCTAGTGTTTGTGTGTGTGTGAATTGAACCTGCAGGACTTGCCTACTCTTTTTTTCTTCTTTTTGCTTACTCCTTTTACAATGGACATTATTTTTCTCCTTCCTTTCTCTGCCAAATTTCCCAATAATAGGCTGTCCTCTGACTTCTCAGCCTTTGGCACAACTCTTACATATTTGATAAATGAATAAATGAATGCTCTCACATTCATCTTCTCATTCACTTTACATCAGCCAAACAGGCCTTCTTTCTGTTCCCTGAACATGCCAAGCGCAATCTTATAGGGCCTGTGGACTGCCTCTTCTCTTTTCCGGGAACCCTCTTCCTCAGATATTTGCCCAGCCAGCTCCTCTTATCATCCCTACAAAAACATTTACACACACACACACACATACACATAATTGCACATGTCAGTCAAGTCAAAAATAAGATGAAATTTTATTTTATTGATTGGTTGATTTAATAGCAAGAGGAAGGGAGAGAGAGAGAAGAAAGAGAAAAAACTCAGATTTGTTGTTCCACTTATCATGCATTCATTGGTTGATTCTTGTATGTGCTCTGACTGGGGATCAAACCCTTGGCATATTGGGGTGCTCTAACCAACAGAGCAACCACTCAGGGCAGTTAGAGAACATTTTAAACAGGAATTTTAATTGAAAGCCAAACCAGACATTAAATTGATAATTTTTATCTTTTTGCTTTTGTTTGAATTTTCCAGTTTATATATGTAGATGATCTCAAATTACAATTTAAATTTAGGAAAGTGCTGAGTGTAAGTGGGTATTCACTTTCTCCCAGGTGTAGAGGAGTCTGTGTGGGGAAGGAGGGATTATTTTGCTGAACATTCCTGTGAGGTGGGGATTGTTCCCATTTCTCTGGTAGGACACTGGGGTGCCAGGATTCCTGGTGGTTAGGCTGCTAGTGAGGTGAGGGTGGGGCGAGGTTTGAACCCAGTTTTGCCATCAGAGCCACACAGGCTGCTAAGAAGCAGAAAAACATTCTGGGTCCCCAGTGTCAACCTGAAAGATGTCTAGTCTTAAATCCAGAAGGAGGTCATCTGGTTCAATCCTGCCTTTTACAGATGGAGGAGCCGAAGCTCTATCAGGCGGAGCAACCAGCCTGCAGGAGAGGGTAGAAGGCAGTGTGGGCGTGTGGGCAGACCTTGCCCAGCCCTTACAAACAGGAAGCCTGAAGTAAGAAAGTGAAACTCTGTCCAAGAAAGAGAAGTCAGAAAAGTGGCTGTTTTCTTTCCAACACCCAAGGTGAATTCCTTTATTAAGTCATAATAATTTTCTAAAAATTCTGAGTCCTGCTACTTTAGGCTCTCAACTCCACCATTTATCTCTTCCCCCCAAGTCCCACACTCTTCAAGGTGCTTCACAGTACAGCCAGGGAATGGGGGCTGCATGGGAGTGGGGTCCCGTGGCTATATGTCATCCTCTGTTACTCCTGGCCCATGAGTCCCTGGTTCATTTGGCTGAACTCTAATCAACCGTCTTTTAAGAACTTCCCTGGCACTTCCTCACTGTCCTGACAAAGTCTTTACCAAGGCCTTGTCCTTATATTTACATTTGTTCAGAACTTTTGCTTTTACAAAGTGCTTTTCTGTCCAGTTTCCCACTTGATCCCATGATAACCTGGTGAAGTAACAGGGATGGGATTTTTACTCCCATTTTACAGGAAGGAGACTGAGGCTGTCCTCTGGAATCTCCAGTGTTGTCAGGGACTGATGACGAGTCTCGGCCTCACACTGGCCCAGCAGTGCTCCTTTGGTACAAATTCCAGGTTTTCTCTTTTTTTCCCCTCATGTTTCCTAGAATCCCAGTGGATTCGATATAGCAGACACATTACACAGACGGCTGGTGGTCCATGGTTAATCAAAGGCTGCGGGCACAAGCTTTATGTTGCTTTGGCAATGTCCCTCCAGGTTCCTTAGCCGATTGCCAAGCTATCATGTGCCACTCCCGACCAATGCTTGCAGTCTTTTCTTTCATTGTCTAATCAGATTTTCCAGTTTACAATCTTCCAATTTATCCAAATGGATCTGTTTGGTTTATTTTTTCTTGCCTAAATGTTAGGCATCCAACCTAATGGGTTTCAAAAATTAATATAATTTATTTGCTATCTTAGTGCAAAACAAAAACATTAAGACAACACACTGAAAAAAAGAAAGGAAAAAAAAGAAAAAAAAGAAAAAGACAATGCACTGAAGACCAGACTCCTTCCTCCTCTTCTCCTTCTGTTTCTTGAGTCATCAGCAAGTAAACAGTTCTGTAAACATGTGTGGGTCTGTGCCCGTGTGCGTGGACCCACTGTTTTATTCCATTCTTAACTGATTTTGTTCCAGTTGCATCCAAGTGGCCTGACCTATTCAAAACGGAGATTCCCGTAGCATCTGGACGTTCATCAAGGCCCGTTTCAGCTGCTCATAGGTTACAAACATCACCACGTTCCAGATTCCCAGTCGCAAAAAGGAGGGTGTAAATCTGATGAGAAAAACAACCAAAACATAAGGCGGAGTGGAAAGAGATCTGTGCTCTCCCCATCACAGCGTCAGTGCCAACGACCTAGACTTGTGTTAGTCATGAACATTTTCTAAGGTCTGTTCAGTCTTTTTCTTCTCTGATGAAGGAATTCAGGCAGAAGGAAAGGAAAGAAAACCAGCATTTTTAGCCAGGTTACTATATCAAGCAGTTATTCTCGCAGTTCTATAAGAGAGCTGATTGTTGCCAGTTGTCGTTTTCGGAAACTGCCACCCAGGGAGGTTAAATAGCTCTTTTATAGCTACGTGACTCCCTCAGCTGCCGGGTGATTCTGGGCTCACATCCTGAATGTTCACCCCCGATGAGGTGCCTGCCAGGGCACCGAGAAGCTGGGATACCGCAGGGCAAAGACCGTGTAACACCAAGTTTAGCTCATCTCCGGGGAGCCTGCCTGTCCTGTCCCCACCTCAGCTTTGCTTCACAGACTCCGGGAGGATCCTGCGACCTGGCCCTGCCCTCCTCCTCAGCCTCTCTTTGCTGATCTCCTCCTGGTCCTCTCTGCTCTGCCAGACCCTTATTTCCATGCCTTTGCCCATGTTGCTCCTTCTGCTTGGAATGTCCTTGCCTGGCTGGTTGCTAATGGCTCTGTAGGAATTGGCTTGGTTATCATAACCTCATGCCAAGGCCTCTTCTGAACCCTCAGCCTTGAGTATAGGGAGTATATTCCTGAGGCAATGAACGTGAACTCTGGAGTCAGACCTGGGTTTAAATCTTAGCTCTACCAGTTTTTAGATTCATGATCTCAGCTGAGTTGATCTTTCTGAGCATCAGTTTCCTTAGCTGTAAAAGGAGGAAAATACAGTAACGGTATCTACTTCATAGAGCTGTTGTGAGGATTAAATGAGTTATGCACAGCACACAGCACAGGGGCCAGTACCAGAAAATGCTCAATAGATGTCACCTACTTGTCTGCTGCTCTTTGAGGAAGGATAGCACAAGGTCCGCACCCATGAGATGCAAAGCAAATGTTTCCCAAGTAAAATAATAAACAGAGATAAGTGGCTACAACTTAAGATTGTAATCATAGAGGCACTTACAGGAAAAGAACAGACTATCAGTGGAAACACAGACTGATGATGTCATTCCCAGGAGTTAGAACTTGTTTGCTTACTGAGTTCAATCTAACCCTGGGCTCCAGAAAGTTCTCATCAGTGGTGGGAAGTGAGAGGGCAAAGAAAAGAGCTTAGCACTACAATGAACATGTTGGGTGAAGTCTGATGGTTTGGGTTCGAGCTGTGGCTCTGCCATTTTAATTTTGTGATCTTGGACAAGTGACTTGATATTTATGAGTCTCTTCCTCAGTAAATGTGAACAATACTGCCCAGTTCAGGAGGTTGTTGAGTGTTCAGCACAAGGCCTAGTACTCAGTGACTTAATGATCATGATGTAACCTATGTATTGAGTGATGGCTTTGTACTTGGGACTCTGGGAGATGATAGATGTTCAAGCCACTAGTTCTTGGCTTCAAAGAGCTTACATTCTAGCATGGAGGATAAATTAAACTTACAAATACCGTTACACAAAGTAGGAGGTGGTAGATACCATACGAATAGTATCAAGGAAGTATTGCTGAAGCTCACAGGGTACTTGAGAGTATCGGGAGGAGGTGGCTTGTCAATTAGTCTTGAAGGACATTTTGACTGTTGCCAGAGGGTGTTGAGGGGATGGGTAAAAAAGATGAAGGGATTGCCCGACCAGTGTGGCTTAGTGGTTGAGCGTCGACCTATGAACCAGGAGGTCACAGTTCGATTCCCGGTCAGGGCACATGCCCAGGTTGCAGGCTCAATCCCCAGTGTGGGGCGTTCAGGAGGCAGCTGATCAATGATTCTCTCACATCATTGATGTTTCTATCTCCCTCTCTTCCTCCCTTTCTCTCCGAAATCAATAAAAGTGCATTTTTAAAAAAGGCGAAGGGGTTAAGGAGTATAAATTGGCAGTTACAGAATAGCCTGGGGCTGTAAAGTATAGCACAGGGAATATAGTCAGTGATATTGTAAGAACCATATATGTTGCCAGGTGGGTACGAGACTTATCAGGGTGAAGACTTCATATATAAATGTCTAATCACTAGGTTGTACACCTGAAACTAATATAACATTGTACATCAACTATAATTGAAAAATAAAAAATTATTCAAAAAATATTTAGAGCATGTAGATGGCACGGGAAAGGCATTCTATGCAGAGGGAACAGTAAATGCCAAGACACAGAAGCAGGAGAATGTGACATACTTTGGCTCTTCAGGTGCCATCAGTGGTGATCCACAGTGTGGCCGTGGTTTGGGAAAATTCTCAGGATTACTAACCACCTTTCCCTCCTTCCTGGCCCAGTGAATTTGGGGACAGCACTTTGACCTATGCCTAGACTCCTTTTTCTCGGATAAGCCTCCCCTGACTCTCCAAATTGGATTTGGCTCATTTCCCCCCCAACTTCCATAGTTCTTGATACTCTCCTTTGTGGCATTTACATCTGTACTGTTCACCACTGCATCCCAGAGGGACCCATGGTAGGCACATTATTCATGAAAGGAAGAAAGGAAAGAAGGAAGAAAAAAAAGAAAGGAAGGAAGGAAGGAAGGAGGGAAGAAAAGAAGTAAGGAAGGAAGAAAGAAAGAAAAGAAGGAATGAAGGAAGGAGGAAGGAAAGGGCAGGAGGAAAGGGGAGGGAAGGAGGGAGAAAGAGTGAGCCAACTTTTCTGGAAGGGAGTATGGAGGCGGGAGGGGTAGGCTCACCCCTTATAGAAGGCTGAGGGACCCTCCCGGGCCACCATCTTCAGCATACAGTCCAGGGGGCTGCGGTACTGGTCTGGGAGTGAGTTCATATACCGGGTCTTCACCACGTCCACTGGGGAGGCCACCACTGTGGCACAGAAACCAGCTCCAAAGGCAGAGACAAAGTGGCAGGGGAAGTTGTCTGCAGCAGGGAAGGGAAGAGCGAAGACGGGGCTGTGAGATGGGATGAGCACTTGCTTTCTGTCCCATGTGTGCTTATCGTATGCCCCCAGTTAAACGGTGAACTTGAGCATAAGGGTGGTATTTTCCATCTCTCACTGCCTTGGGTGGAGCCCCTGGTAAGGACTGGCAAGATAGGACTGAGCTGTCCCACAGTTGGAAGGTCATCCAGCCCAACCACCTTGTTTGAGGAAACTGAAGTCAGAGTAGGTGATCCCCACTTAAAGATACATGGTGAGAAGTAGTGCTGGGCTGGAAGCCAGGTCCCTGGCTTCCCCGTTCAGGGCTTCTTCCTACTCGTCTCAATGATGTACTGGGCACTGCTCCTCTCTGATCTGTCTAAAGCCCAGTTGCCTCTGGGTGGTGCCCACTATGTGGCGTTGCAGGTTCCCTCCCTGCTGCGGGAGGGCTGTCTGCCTGGAGCCCAGGGCCTCACCGGTAAACAGGTGATAGTCCAGCAGCTTCTCCTTGATGACGTCATAGGTCACCATCTCAGCACAGTTGACAATGGCATTCCTCGTGATGTTGGGGAAAGTTCCTGTTGGAAAGGGAGTGTGGGCTGATAAATGGGGAGTAGGAGAAGTGGACCCCTGGCTGCAAGGCCATAGACCCCAGTTGGGGGGCATGGTGCCCCCTCCCAGTGGTCTTAGAGAGCCCATCCACTCCACTGAGCAGATTACACATAACCTAGTGTTAACAACTCTCATATTATCCATGTCCTCCTTAGAGGCAGGAAACAGAGAGGCCCACTTGTGTTTGTTTGGGGAACATTTTGGAGGATAATCTGCAAAATCTATCAAAATTTACATATGCCCCCCTGAGACTTGTCTAAAGGTAGAAAAGGAAGTCTTCCTTTGGAAGAGGAAGGTGGGCTCTTGCAACAGTGACAGAGTGCAGTGTTGCAGGGTCCAGGAGCGCATCAAGACCAGCCCCTGGTTTCTCAGAGGAGGGCCAGGCTCCGGGAGGGCCCAGCGCAAGTGAGTGCAAGGCCTGGGCTCTGACCCAGGTGTCCGTCCTGCTCTTAACCTTCACTGGGCCACTGTTTCTTCTGATGGATTCAGGGTCCCCTGGTCTCCATGTGGGAGGCACTCCAGCATTTGTCGGGGTTGCCACCATTTAGATAAGAAGGGACCCCTAAAGCCGTGCTCCCAAGGAATTCCCTCTTCACAGCACCTCCTGTGCCCACTCCACAGCTGCTTCTGTGTCTTCTCCACGCCCTGCAGCCACCTCTCCAGCGTTTGCCTGGAAGGTCCTCCCTGCAATCTCCACACAGAGCCTTTGAGGCCCAACTTAAGCGTTGCCTTCTCTCCAGAGCTCACATGACCCTCCTGCCTCCGGGCCTGCATCTCTTGTGAACCTCGCACATCCTGCCCCGTGGTATGGCTGCTCCTTGACCCGTCTCCTCCCCTCTGTGCGGGTGTGGAAGGGGTCTTCTGTTCACTCCTGTCTCCCTCTCAATAGCCTGCACATGGTGGAGGGTCGGCAAATTGAGTTGAACTTGGAGCACTGTGGTAAGTCAGGAGGTACTTGAGGTAGGACACTCTCAGAATCACTGGAATACTGTACACTATGCCGGGAGCTCCCTCGTCGCTCAGTTCTCTGCCCCAGCCCTAGGGTAGGAAAAGCTCTGCCGAAGGCCCCCTGAGACTGGAGTCCAGACTTACCTTTCCACAGGCCCCTGAGCCCTTCCTCCCTCGCGATGGTCCTGTAGGCATCCATTGTCCCACTGTACTTCTTGTTGCCGCCAGGCCCAAAGTGCTTGTTGGCCTGAAATCGGACCTTCACCACATCCGTGGGCTGGGCACAGGTTACCGCCATGGCCCCTGTGGTGCAGCCCGCCAAAATCCGGGTGGCGATGCTGGAGTCTGGGGAGAAGGAGAGAGAGTGGGCCAGTGCCCCATCACCTGACACCTCTCTGGGCCTGATGCCTGCCTCTTCTCCTGGGTCAGAGTTCTGGAGCTTTCTTGAAGGGGCTCTGAGTCTCCTCAAGAATGTCTGTTACCAGCTCCCCACACCCCAGCCCTGCCTCTGAGTCTGCACTGCCCTGGTCTCTGGCCCCACGCGCTGGTGTCCCTGGGGTGCTGGGCACTCACGGTCTGATCCTGTGGGGGTGTACAACTGCTTGACAGAGTCGTAGAGGCCGATGCGGATGGAGGCGAAGCTCATCTGGCGCTGCAGGCCGGCGACCAGCCCGCTGTAGGGGCTGCGGAGGCCTTCGGTGCGCACCATGGTCAGGATGGTGCCCAGCACGCCGCGGTACTGGACGCTCCGGGCCACCTGGGATGCCTGGTTCTCCCCCTGGATCTGAGGGACACCCCCCGCAGAGGTATGAGGAGCTTGGTGGGGGGGAGGGAAGGGGGCGGATGGGGCTGTGTTCAGAGGCACCTGCCTGGGGCTGGACTTGGAGAACAAGCATGACTAAGCTGTCACATCCCAGGAAGAGTAACTGAGGTTTGTGCCGCAGTTTACAGCTCACAGTGTGGCATTTGATTCTCAGAGCAAAGGGAGGGCAGATTGTTTTTCCCACCAAAGTGGTCAGTGGCTTGCTCAAGGTCATTCCTTACTTTTACTTCACTCTTTACGGTTTACAAAATAGGGCTGGCTGGGCCATGAAGGGTCCTGTCACGGCATGCCAAGGAATTAAGATTTTTTTGTCTTGGGCGATGGTGATGGGGAGGCAGCAAGGCAGGTGGGCAGCAGTGGAGTGAGTGGCCTGCTCAGGGTTGTGTGTGAGGAAGAGCTTGCTGGGAGCCGGTACAGGTGCTGTGGAAGAGACCTCAGCCCTTCTTTTGATGCGAACAATGACCCTTGGCCAAGGGCACCTACCTGCAGGCGGACCTTGGCTGTGTCCAGTGGAAAGGTGAGGAGGTCAGCAAAACAGGCCGCCATGCCCGCCCCCAGGAACTTCACAGCTGTTGTCGGAGGCATCTCTGAAGGCTTTAGTCCAACCATGGTCCCAGACGTTTCTCCCAGTCCCTTGAGGGCCCAGTTCAGGTCTGAGGAGAGAGGCCGCTCTGCAGCCCTGGGCTTTCCTGCAGGGAGGAGGCTGTGGAGACAGGCCGGTGGAGGCAGATGGAACCAGTGCGGCCTGGCTCAGCACCAAGAGGGGCTTTATGAGTGAAAAGCCTGGGCATTCCATGTTCAGCTGTGGATTTGGCTTAGAAAAACTGGCCACATGACTTTGCCTTATCTCTTAAAAAAAATATATATATATCTATTTTATTGATTTCAGAGAGGAAGGGAGAGGGAGAGAGAGATAGAAACATCAACAATGAGAGAGAATCATTGATCGGCTGCCTTCTGCACACCCTACATTGGGGATCGAACCCACAAACCCGGGCATGTGCCCTGACTGGGAATCGAACCATGACCTCCTAGTTCACAGGCCGGTGCTCAACCACTGAGCCACGCTGGCCAGTCTGACTTATCTCTTTTGACCTTTCCCAGGATGAAGTGGCGTTTAAAACTTTATTTTTATTTAAAAAATAAAAGATTTGAGGTATAGTTTCTATTATAATGGCTATATGCATTTTAATGAGCTGTAATGGGACCTGTGTGTTGATTCTGGAATGTTTGGCCAGGACAGCAGACGGGGGAAGAGATTTTCTAGGCGGGGACCTAACCTGGCATCCAAGCATACGTAAGTCAGATCATGCCACTCCCTGTTATAAAACTGTCCAATATGCCCCCTCCATTATTGAGAATAAAGTCCAAGTCCTTGCCGTGGCCTGTGGGCCCCTCCATAAGATCCCCCTCGTGCCACGTTCTGTACTTGGCACTTCCCAGGCCGTCCTGAGTAACTGAGTGTGACCCGCCCACAGGAACTCTCAAGGAGTCTCAGGGGCATTAAACACGCCTACAAATAACTAGTGGAAGATGGGCTGGACCAATGTCAGAGGAAGGAGCCATCCAGAAGGGACTCAAAGGAGGGAGAGACCCTCTCTTGTTTGTGAGGTAGAATTAAAACAATTTCATGGGGGGTAGTTGGAGGGTTGCATGAATTAGGCCTTGAAAGTTGGGCAGAGAGTGTTCAACTGGAGAAGAGTGTGCGAGGTGCAGGAAAGGGCACGAGCTGTGTGAGTGTGTGCGGCATGGCTTAGGGCAGGAGGAGGGAAAGGCTGCTGGGCCGTGAGGAACTTGCAGTGAGCTTTACACACTGTCTCATGGAATTCTCATAACTTTTCTGAAAGGGAGCTTTCCCTTCCTTTCCCTACTTTGGATGAGCAACCGAGGCTCAGAGACACACGCTGGCTCCGTGTTACCAGCCGCTAGTGACAGAGCCTGGTTCCCTCTGCTATACTAGGCTCATCTAGCCTTGGAAATAAGGGAGGACACCACGTAAGTCCATTTTACAGATGAGAAAATAGAGGCTTAAGATGGAAAGAGACTGGCTCAAATTCACAGAACTCCAGCCAGGTTCTCGTGATGGCATCAAGGCTCCCTTCCCCACTCCACTCAGGGGCCCGGTGGTTGTGGCGGGGTGGATATCCAAGATCTTGCCTTTACAGTGAGGGCATTCCAGGGCTGGTGGGCATCTGCCCAGTTTGGTAGGTGAAAAAAACCGGCCCCCAAGGGGCTGAGGCCTCTGCAGCTTGGCTTCCTCTGCAGTGCTCTTCCCACAGCTGCTCCTCCCACAGCCTGTCTACCTGCCTTCCTGACAGGGTCCAAGAAGGATCTGGTTTCTTGGGAGGATGGTGTAGAGGTCCTGTGTCCGCACAGCTGAGCCTGGCTGAGGGAACAGCATGGACGTCATGGTGGGGAACGCCATCCTCCCCCTGCCTCCTTTCACACTCCCCTTTGCCCTACAGAAGACCAGCAGCTGCCAGGCCTGGCTCGGGCCCCAGCAGGGAGGTTCTGGGTCCTCGGCCTGGGGCTGGACGGCAACCGCAGAGACCTCCCCCAATGCGAGCATTCTGTTAGCCTCTCTTCCTTTAAGCACTAGCCCCCCACTCTCCGCACCCCCGCCCCCGCCCTTCCCCTCCTTAGACCTGTGCTGGGCTTCTTGGAACCTTAGCCTGGGAATGTGAGGGCATGCCTCTCAGAGCTGGGAGGCCCTTGTGGGCTGTGCTCTCTCGTGTCTCTTACTGGATGTTGGAGTGCCCCTTATTCACAATCTTTTGGGGGTTACCCAAGCTCTAAAAGAAGAACCCTACAAGTTAGGTATTTTTACTCCACTTTCAGAGTTACAAACTGAGGCCCAGACAGGTGGAATGACCATCTGAGGTCACAGGTGCACAGGGCTATGTGACTCCAAGGCACATGTGTGATGTGCCAGCCTGGCAGGGAACACTTCTGAACTTCCTTTGTCCCCAGCTACTCCTGGTCCCATACCATCCTTTCTTGTAGGATTAGCTCATTAACTGCAGTGGTTCCTCCCCAGATGGAGGACCCCCAAAGGCAGGGACAGGGCTGACTATCCTTCTCTGTGCAGCCTGACACAGGGATGGCCCAGGGCTCGAGAGGCCCATGGAGGACCAGTTGACCAAGGAACCCCACTTGCTGAAGGGGAGAAATGGGAAATAAAATCGGAGGTGCCCACAGCAGCCTTGGGTGGGTGGGTGGGAGCCTCGAATGCCAGGGCTATACTGAATCTAGCGAGTGAAGAGTGGTTGGTGATTTTGAGTTGAAGAGTGACACTAGCAGACCTATGTGCAGAGCATGCTGGTAGACATTTGGACTGGAAGGGAGAGATGGAAGCTCGAGACCAGTGAGCAGGTGGTTGGAATGGTACAGGGAGAGGTGCTGGAGCCTGAACGTGATCAAGAACAGTGGCTCCAGCCCTGACTGGTTTGCTCAGTGGATAGAGCATCAGCCTGCAGACCAAAGGGTCCTGGGTTTGATTCTGGTCAAGGGCACCTACCTTGGTTGCAGGTTCCTCCCCGGCCCAGGGGCTCGTGCAGGAAGCAACCAATCGGTGTGTCTCTCTCATATCGATGTTTCTCTCTGTCTTTCCCTCTCTCTTCCACTCTTCCTAAAAATCAATGGAAAAATATCCTCAGGTGAGGATTAGTAACAAAAAAGAACAGTGTCTCCACCCTGGCCAGTGTGGTAAGTGGTTAGAGCGTCGTCAGCCTGCACCGAAGTGTTGCAGGATCAATTCCTGGTCAAGGGCATGTACCTCGTTTGCAGGTTCACTCCCTGCCTCTGGTCTGGGCACGTGAGCGAGGCAACCAGTTGATGTGTCTCTCACACTGATGTTTCTCCCCCCCCCCCCCCTATTCCCTTCCTCCCTTCCACTCTCTCTGAAAAAGCAATGGAAAAAAATATCTTCAGGTGAGGATTAAAAAACGAACAAACAAAAAACAACAAAAAGAGCAGTGGCCCGTGGTGAATCGGGCATATTCCAGAGGCAGTTCTGAGCCACCCACAGGAGGCAGAGTGGAATGGCATGGACTCAGGTCAAAAGCCACAGCTTTGGGGAGGCTTTAGAACTTCCAATGGTCAAACTGGGGTGGGGGCAGGGAGGCTACAATGGTGGGCACAGGTAAGGGCCCTGAGACCAGTGCTCCCCACCTCCGTCCCCCTTTACTCCAGCCTCCTGGTATGTGAGGAACCCCAGCAGCCAGCAGACCTTTGCCACTGGCGGGTAGAAGAGGTTGAGAGCAGAACCCTCCTCACGCTAGCTCTGCTGGGGCACTTGAGGGATGGGATGGTCTAGTCCACATGGCCTGGGGTAATGGAGCCCTTAATGCTTGCTGAGTGCTTCCTGCACAAGACACCAAGCTAAGGGCGTTCTAGGCACTGAAAAATTCAGTCCCTTTATAAGACTCTAAGGTATGTAGTTGCTATGATTATTCCCACTTCGTTACCAAGGGTCCGGAGGCTTTGAGGGCTCAGCCAGTATGGCTGAGATGGAGCTGGGATTGGAGCCCAGATCTGTCACCTGTGCCTGTTCCATTGCTCAGTCTCAGGCTTCAGGGAGAGCTCAGGATTACAGAGTGGATTCTCAGCCCACAGCCCCAGAGATCCCGATTCAGGTCTGGGTTGGGGTCTGGGAATCTGCACTAGAACAAGTTCCCTGATGTCTCTGAAGCACCCCCATCCTGAGACACCCTGCCAACCCCACCATCCTGGCAAAGCCTCCTCAGCATTCCCACTAAGGAAACCCCTGGGGGGAGAGTTCCCACGGGCTCTGTAAAACTCCCAGCATGCAACATGGGCCAGGCCTCATGCCAGACATGCCTCCACCTTCCGTACTCAGGAAAGGGGTCTCCAGAGCCCTTATGGGGAGAGGATTTTATGCTCTGGAGGAATCCTGGAAGGATTCTGGGCCAGATTAAGGAGAAAGCCACTTCTTATGTACGGGGATGTGCAAAATCACAGCAGAGGCAGCCAGCTGAGCAAGGGGCCAGTTTTGGGTGAGTGACATGGTGGTGGGGTTGAGTCCCAGCCCTGCCACAGTGCCCTCACCAGGGGCTGCAGTTCCCTCACCTTGACAAGGTGGGTCTGGACTAAATCTCCATACTCTGTTATGCCATGGTAGGGGTCCCTGCCAGTTCCTGGCTGCTCTCTGTAGGCTCCGGTGAGGGGAGAACATGCGGGGTGGGTAGAGAATGGGATCTTACCTGAGTCCAGCAGGGGTAGGGGAAGCTCAGGACCTCCTTAGCGCTCCTTAGTGCTCCATCCCAGGAGGCGGCAACAGGACTCTGATTGCTCCCTGGCCATTCACGGCTGTCTCTGCTGCCTCCGGCTTGGCACCTATCTTTATACACTCTGGCTGACCTGAAACCTTACCCTGCAGACGCTAGTGACAGCCTGATCACTTGACAAGAAGCGGCTGGTGAGGGGCAGGGAGGTGAGGGAGGAGGTCAGAGTTCTAGATCTGGTTCAGTTCCTTTCACTTGAGGTTCTTTAAAATAGCTACTGAAGGAAGCGATTGAAGGAAGAGCTACCTCAGAGGAGGAGGATATATATGTGCATGTGTGGGGCGTTGGACCGGTCACCTGTGAAAGTCCAAAGGTCAAGGCCTCCCTCCATAGGCTGGGCAGGTCTCTCCCTAGCCTCCTCTCAATAATAACACTGATAATAACTCATTTCTTGGTGCCTCCTATGAGCTAGATACTTTACATATATTATTTCTATTTCTCGCAACCCTAGGAGGTCGGTACTAATAGGATTCTGAGTTTATTTTTTTTTTAAACAACAGCTTTGCCCTGGCCAGTGTTTCTCAGTGGTTAGAGCTTCTGCTCACATACTGAAGGGTCTCAGGTTTGATTCTCAGTCATGGGCAAAAGCTGGGTGGCAGGTTTGATCCCCGGCCCTGGTCAGGATGTGTGTGGGAGGCAACCAATTGATGTCTCTCTTTCACATGGATGTTTCTCTCTCTCCCCCCACTCCCTCCTTTCCACTCTCTCTAAAAAACAATGGGAAAAATATCCTCAATTAACAAAAAACAGAAAAAAGAAAAGAAAATAACAACTTTATTGAGAGATAATTCGCACACCATTCACCTACCTATTCGATGTTTTTAGTATATTCAGTTATACCACCATCATCTATCATCACAATTTTAGGACATTTTCATCACCCCTCAAAATAAAATCCCCCTACACATCAGCAGTCGCTTCCCTTCTCCCCAGCCCCAGGTAATCACTAAAGATTTGCTTGTTCTGAATATTTCCTATAAATAGAATCATACAGTATGTGACTTACCCTGTGACTGGCTTCTTTCACTTAACATACTGTTTCCAAAATTCATCTGTTCATTCCTTCTCATGGTGGAGGATCCTAACATTTGTAATGCTCATTTTACAGAGAACACTGAGTCTCAGGGAGAGACAATGACTTATACAGGTCACACAGCTAGTACGAGGCAGAGCCTGGCTCTAGCCTGTAAATTGTAACGTACTTTGGGTCTGTCTGCTGTGACCACGTTTTCGATGACATAACATTTGGAGGTTCCAGCAAGGACACTGCTGGAGCCAAAGGCCGCTGGGAGGGAGTGGGGGGCAGGATGGGAAGGGTCCTCTGATAGGCACTGAGGGTAAGGGTTGGGCACATCTCAACCTGGAACCCAGGTGACAGAAAAGAGGAGAGAGGGGTGAGGGGTGAGGGGAGGAGAGCGCAGGGGACGAGAGGAAGAGAGGGCTGGGAAGGGAAGGGAATGAACTGCTTGGGGCAGAGTAGGCAGAGGCCAATGCTGGATTTGGGCACAGAGCCATGGCCCCGAGGCAGATGATCACAAGTCCAGACGCTCAAGTGCAAAGCCTGTCCTCCTAGAACCAGGCCCTGCCCTAATGTCAGCAGGACAGGCAGCTGTGTAAGTGCTGTTAGAGCAGTGGCTGGGGGGCCACTGAGGTTGGGAGGGCTCAGGACATAGGTTCCAGGCTCCACCTGAAAATGCTGGCCTTGAGGTGGTGGGTGAATTGCATTGGGCACTGTATCTGGGGAGGGATAAACAGTAGGAACCCAAACAAGGGGACAGCGGGCCCTGGACAAAGTCAGAGGGCAGGCAGGTGGGCTGGCTCAGCTTACACTGGCCTGAGAGCTTCTTGAGGGCGGGGCCAGGCCTGTCTGCTTTGGTTCTGTCCCCAGAACCCAGCCTGCTCTAGAAGTCCCAAGGTTGGCTGCTCTGAGCTGGGTTCAAGCTGTGGGTGATCACAAACACCCGTTTTCAGGTCTCCACAAAGGAAGCGCCCAAGGGAAGTGGGGGAGACAAGGCTAGCTCTGCTGCTGGTGGTAGGAACAAATAGGTACCTCATACAGCATGACCCTGCATGGTGTTTCACCTCTGAGCTGTCACTGGCAAACAGACCCAGCTTCTGGGGGTGCAGTGGGTTTCAGACCCTCAGAGTGTCTATGTCATGAAGGCTGCCCTGGGCCTGGGTGGAAGCAGCCCATGTCCTCCTACGGCCTTATCCTAACTCGACCTGATCAGGCTATTTACAGGACCTGAAGAGGATTTAGAAGAAATATTCTTCACCAGCTTAACACCTCAGGCCTGGGCCCCCTGACTGCTCCACTGTAGGTTCTCTGTGGCCTCAAGGGAGGAATAACCCCAGGCCTTAACACTCTGGGCTGGTGGCTTGAGGAGGAGGCTCTGGGTAGGGGGTGAGCTGGCAGGTGAGGGGGCTGAGGCGAACAGATGAAGGAGGGCAGGCTGGTCTGAGGGCACTTCACCGATGAGGGCACCGTGTGCCTCCCTGGGGTCCTGCATCATGGTGTACCTCCAAGGGCGCGTCCTGCTGTCCAGAAGAGTGTGGAGGTGTGGGCGGGGCTGACATTTCCTAAGCCTCCACTAAGTGCCAAGTGCAGGCGAAGCACTTTCACAAATGTCATCTCATTTATTCTTCACACCAACCCTATGAAGCTGGGATTATTACCTCCATTTTACAGATGAGGCAACAGAGGCTCAGATGCAGGGAGAGTCAAGCCGGGGGGGGGACCGACTGGGGGAGTGGTGTCTTCTCTATCCCCAGATGCATGTGGCCCGAGGACCCTCTGGGTTCTCTCTCTGGGCTCACCTCGACTTCTCGGTTCTAGGAAGCCTTCCCTGACTGCCCCCACCCACGTGGCCTTTCTCCATACAGTCCCTGAATTCACAGCACTTACTGGCTGTGACCTGTTTTGGTCACTGAGTGCAGAAGCCTTGCGACATCTCTGGAGATGTCTTGTGTGGTGGTTCACTTCCTAGCTACATCAACAGAGGCAAATTAACTTCACTGAGCTTTAGTTAACTCTAAAATGGGAAACCTGAACTTGGCTGGAGAACCTGGCTGTAGAACCTGGCTAGAACCTGGCTATGATGATCAATCGAACGCTGCCTCCGTGACATTCCTTCTTCACCTACTCCATCCACACCTTTGGGAACCCCTGGACTTGCTGGGGCTGGACCCCAACAGGGAGGTATTTGCCTAAGAATTCCTGCCTATCTCACAGTTACTGGTGCGCTTGTCTGTCCAGAAGAGTGTGGAGGTGTGGGCGGGGCTGACATTTCCTAAGCCTCCACTAAGTGCCAAGTGCAGGCGAAGCACTTTCACAAATGTCATCTCATTTATTCTTCACACCAACCCTATGAAGCTGGGATTATTACCTCCATTTTACAGATGAGGCAACAGAGGCTCAGATGCAGGGAGAGTCAAGCCGGGGGGGACCGACTGGGGGAGTGGTGTCTTCTCTATCCCCAGATGCATGTGGCCCGAGGACCCTCTGGGTTCTCTCTCTGGGCTCACCTTGACTTCTCGGTTCTAGGAAGCCTTCCCTGACTGCCCCCACCCACGTGGCCTTTCTCCATACAGTCCCTGAATTCACAGCACTTACTGGCTGTGACCTGTTTTGGTCACTGAGTGCAGAAGCCTTGCGACATCTCTGGAGATGTCTTGTGTGGTGGTTCACTTCCTAGCTACATCAACAGAGGCAAATTAACTTCACTGAGCTTTAGTTAACTCTAAAATGGGAAACCTAACATGTAGGTTAGAGTTGTTTTTTTTGGATTAAGTGAAATGACCTGTGCTTAGGAGTAGAAAGCAGGACCCTCCATGTTAGCTCCCTTCTAGCCTGTCGCAGCCACTGCACATCTTTGTCCTTATCTCCCCCGCAGGCCTTGTCTTCAGTAGCTGCTCAGTTTGAGGCCTGACAGTCTAAGCCAGAGCCACCCGTCCCGGAGGGTGGGGAATTCTGAGACGACTTGTTGCAGGAGACTCCCTTTACTTTGCTGATAGATTTGAGGCACCAGCAAAGAAGTAATGGGTGTCACCCTAATCTGGATCAACCCGATCTTTGGGGAATTCCTAACTCTCCTGTCCAGTGGCCAACCCAGGAAATACTTGTGCACAGAATACAAATACCAATATGATTTTATTCAAACACAGGCAGGAACAATGACCTTCAGAGCTGGGTAAAAACAATAAGTTAAAAGCATGGTTAGAATTTCAGACAATCAGATAAAATGTTTGAAGGAGGTGATTTCCCCCTCCTCTCCTACTAATTCAACACAGCATAAAATAATTTAGATCTATAAAATATCCTTATTCCCAAGCAAATGAACTGAAGGTGGTGTAGCATTTCCTCATTTATGCACAATGCACACAGTCTACACCTTCCCCCAACACCTTTAAGGCAGAAATGGCCCATCACGGGCAGAGAGTGAGCTCATGCCAGCAGTACGCTGTGTCAAGGACATTGGGAGGAGTTTCTCAGCCAAAAGATGCCTGAGTGGGTCCCTTCAAAAGACAAGTGGGCCAGTTGGGTGCTGGAAACCATTCCGTTTCTAGTCTTTGCCTCAATATATCAGGAAGAAGCCGAAGTCCTTGCAGGTGGACAAGGGGCTGGTTTGGACGCTCTCACTGTCTATGCTGTCTGGGGCTCGGGGTGCCCGTGAACTAGCCTAGTGGTTTCAGGACTCTGACAGCCCAGAGAGGAGACCTGACACTCCTGCAAGCTGGACGAGGCTGAGGGCGGTGGGCAGGGGCTCCTTCCTTCAGTCTCTCAGGCTGCGTTAGTCTTTTTGGGAGTACTGGGAAGAAAATATCCGTGCGATTCTGCGAGTTTCTTCTTCAGACAGGTTGGGAGGCAGCGAGTTAGGTCTTGGGCGACAAGGCCTTCGGGATGGGGCGCTTCCAGTGCCTTCACTCTTGTCCTGGAGAGGAAGTCAGCTAGGTTAGCACTGAGGAAGTGGCACCACCAAGAGATGGCTTTGGTTCCTCTTATCGTTTGGTCCTTTGGCTAACAGTGATGCAGAGCTTACTGGTTTACAAAGCTCTTTACATACCTGATCTTGTATAATCCTTACCTCAACCCCATGGGTGGGTACATCACTCCCATGTCATGGGTGAGGAAACTACAGTTCAAGTGAAGTGAACTCAAGGTCCCACAGATTGGAGTAGCAGCTAAGATGTGAACCAGCTCAGACTCTTTCTAGGCCTCCGGAGGGGCAGTCCCCTCTAGGATGGGTTTGAAGCCTCATCCATTCTGTGTCTGTATGAGTCTAGACAAGACATTTGTCCTCTGAGTTATGTCTGTCCTACGTGTGACACCGGGAATATATTCAACTTCTGGGAAGAAGATGTTGGTGAATAATATACTCCGTTGGCCCTTGGAGTTCCTCAAGCTGCAGGTGACATGAAGCACATACTCATGGTCCT